TAACAAACAATGGAACAGATCACTACAGCTTGAACATCAAACTAGTATATCACTAATGTCCTCAGTCATTGTGTGTTAACAATGCATAAATTAACTGAAAAAGTATTTTGGTTGAAGTAACTTAAAAATAATTTTTTAAAATATTACTAATGACTTTTTCATAAATTTTCATAAAGTCTTGTCCAACTTCAATAAAAACTGTTAACCATTTCACCCCTGAGAGTGATAAGCATCTAATTTCTTCTACCAGTATCACCCCTAAATCAAACATTAAGGTCATGAGAATAAAGGAAATGATCACAAGGCCAAGAAGCTATTGATTATTAAGCAAATTCTCCTTGTCAGGACAATGGAAAACATATAGAGAACAGTGTGGAGACCTTGGGAACTGACATGTGGTGAAATGGGTTAAGGAACAGTAAAGGATTTTTAAGTACACAGCATAAAATATGACCTGTGTATGTAGAAATTTTATTTTATTATGATATCACAAACTGCTTAAATTATTCAATAAAGTTACTGTCTTCAAGTCAGCTGCAATGTGCATAAACAGACTTCAAAAACTTCTGTAAGTCAACCCTTATCTGCTGATTTTTTTGAATGACTGACAGTGCAGAGATCAACTTACTTCAGCCTATGTAGGTGTCTCACTTGCTCACTCTTGCTCTTTAGGTGAAGTCCTTTGCTACCTCTCTTTGTTCATTACCTTTTGCTGCTCAAGTTCCTGTCTGAAGCCTAAGTACAGTTCAGTGTTTATGGCTGAAATCTTTTAGAAGCATTTCTTCATGTTGTTAATCACATGTTGGTACCTGCCCTCTTGATAATTAAATTCTTGGTGGAAAATACAGAAGATATGAAATAATAATTATTATCAAACTGATTACTATCGTATTTTGGATATGGTTTAATTTTGGGAAAGGATTTTAATTGCCTTAAGTCGGTTCTTACATCTCCATCCTCCAACCCAACCCTCCTTCCCCCCACATCCAAACTATACAGCCCATCAATTCACATATTCTGAATTGATATGATCATGTCTTCTGATCGTCCAGAGAAGCCCTGAGAAAGACTGTTGTCAGTAGTAGTGAATTTTCGTCATCCTTGAGAGAAGTCATCACTAAAGTCACTTATTATTATTGACACAGTCCTTTCTTTTTCAGGACTACCCTTAGTTGGATGATCAGAATACACTATCAAATATCACTCCTGAGTTCAATTCAGTTCCACTGTATAAAGTTGAGCACAAGTACAAATGTTCATGGTCGGCATTGATGCTTGTGTGAAAAAAAGAAAAGAAAAATTTTGGTGGCCGAAGTAATTTCATGAGCTTGGAACAATGGCGATAAGAAGACTTGGACCTCTCTAAATTACCTAGCCATGAACTGCTGGTTCACGTGTGATTAGCCTTAGGAATAATTGCGCGCCCCGTAATTATACGAGATTGCCTTGCAAACACTTCTGGATAGCACAAGCCTCTTTTTGACAGGGTGATCTTTTATTGTCCGACATTTCATCTGGAGATCTTCACCAATCTACTCGTAAAGTCACCGCGTAAAACGTCGAAAAGTAATCTTACTCTCCCAGGTCCCATGTAGAATCAACCATCTCACGAAATGAAATGCGAGCGCATGCGAGCGCCAATTATATTTTTTATTACCTCAGTAGTGAAAGACTTAAAGAACTTACAAGTAGATGTTTTGGCTCACGTTTCATTTGATTACGTAATGGTCCAAGGAGGGCTTTTCCTCCATCTATAATCTCTGCACCGGATATGTAATTGGAGCAAAATGTGACTCACTATTGCATAAGTGGCACCACTCGTACAACTGCATGCTGTATGAATGCCAGCACGGTGGCGTTCGTGCCAAAGGAAGATCCCGAAGGTACGCACAGTTCACTTAAAATATTTTAATGACCATTCTTACTCATACTTTTTCTAGACGGGGGCCAAAACGTCTGCTGGTACCCAGGGTAGAAAAAGCCAAGTCAAGTCAGTCTTGACTACGAGTTTTGTTATTTTACTTCATTATTTTTTGTACCTTGATAGTTCATTTTGTAAAGTTCTTTAAGTTGTAGGTGGTTTTAGGTGGTTTTAGGTGGTTCCATGTTTTAGTACTTACCATGGGTATGTAATGCAAGGTTCAATGCTGTTACCACTTTGTAGTTTGTGGTAGAAATCTGTTCTTTGTTTCTCAACCACATCACCTAATTTCTTTTTTTTTTATGTTTTCATTGAGGCCTTGCTGTAGACAAGCAAGTTTATGAAATCAACTGGTTGCCTCTGAAATGTTATGAAGTGTTCTGATGATGATGATGATTACAATTTAAAGGCCACCCTCTCATCAGGTTACAAGTTGACAAAATATGCCATCGTAATTATTGTTTTGAATAAACTAGCAAATGATCTAGCGTGGTTGATGAATGTAGTTAGTTTAAAAAGTGTACCTATTATAATTTGCAAAAGGATGCACTCCCTAAGTATTCTGTCTCAGGAACTTGCCATTCAAATCTAATAAATCAAACTCTTTGAGCTTTTCATTGTGTGAAGCTCTGGTATCACGACTATTTAACCTTTTCACTCCCAAGATCTGATTAGTATTTCTTCTCACTGTCTGCCATAGAATCGTTTGGTATTACCTAGGAGAATTTAGTATTGGATCAGTATAAAGTCCACCAAGTTATATTCTGCTTTATTCTCATCACTTTTCTTTTTGATAATGTACTGATATTGTAAGGAGAAGTTCTCTCTTTATCAATCACGAGAGTTAAAGGGTTAAGTGCTCGCTAACTTAAAATTGAATGAATACTTCATCAAACCCACTCAAACTTCCCTTCCCCACAACTGCACGCTTGGTTATGTTAGAGGAAAAACTCTTTTAGATCTACTACCCCTGGTAGGCTTTAGGGAAGCTGTATACTATATATGACTTTCATATATTCTTAACCGTCTATACTATACTCTGTTTCCCGACTTTTCAACTGGAACAACGAACCGCCTTTACAAGGACAATGGGAGTTAATTCATAGAACAAAACAGAAGTGGAACCTCAAAAAAA